TCGGGGGAAGCGAGTGCAAGGGACACAGTCAGTCGTTCTTCAGTATCGAAAGTGGATAATCGATACTCAGGGTCGTTAGTGGACTCTGGGTGTGACTCGCCCTTACAAGATGGCTTATTAGTAAGACCTTTCTATTTTCTATAATTTTGTAAATTATTTTATATTGGTCGGTTGGTAGCCGCACGGTTTAAGACGCCAGTACTTACATCGATGTGTGCTAATTCTGCCCGGGTTCGATTCCCGCGGCCGGTAGACCGTAGATTAGCTATGCTTGTACGGAGGATTGGCACCCTCTGTTCAGGTATGGTAGGGTGGAAGAATGTGAGAGATTGACACTTGACCACTAATTAAAGAGATTTTCCAGGTTTCCCTCATTCCTGCACTGAATGGTGGTTAGGGCCTACCAACATAAGTCGTTCCTGGGCGCAAATGCGGCCTGCTTAATAATAATATGCCGCCTCCTCTCCCGCACAAGTCTCCGACTTCTTGGCTAATTATCGTGGTTAGAATGAGGAGTAGAGATATTATTATTATTATATGTGCGACCTACCAGGACCATTGAGAGTAAAGAGCTGATTTGTAATAGTTATTTGTATTCTTTCTCTCGCAACCTCTTACCCTTGCAGCTGAGTGTACGTCAAACCCACAGACGTGACAATATTTTCGCAAAAACTGCTTCGAAATATTGTGTAGACATTTTTAATATAATAGTTATTTATGTACCAAGGGAAATGGAGGATGATTATGCCTGCAGGCGACAGGTTCGAGGAAAGCAAGTCGCCTAAAGGCATAGTCATCCTAGTATCTCCTGTGCCACACAACGTTTTATTTTTCACTTAGACATCTGATTTTTATTTATTTTAAATTTAATAATTAAATGTAAACGAGAATGAAAACAGTTCTTCAATATACAGGGTGTCCGGTAAGTACCTCCTAATATCTCGGGAATGTATAGGGGAGGTCAAAATAAAACTAGTCCTTCCTATAATTTTTTTTCCTAATGTACCCCCTAACGGAGTTATGGGGGGTCAAAGGGGTACCTAGAAATTAACGTTTAGGGTTATAACTTTGAAACCACACTGTATATTTTAATAAAATTTTCGTACGTTGTATTACACATGGAGCTCTACGATTTGATGCTAAAATCAACTTTTTGCTATTATCAGGTGTCCAGAAACGGACTGGCCCTATCACAATTTTTCTCAAAATTTTGACAGAAGTAATTTTATCAAACTGAAAATATTATTATTAGATACTCTGAAGGTTTTTCTTTAAAAATGGTACTCTTTATTTATTTCGAAAAAATGAACGGTTTGCGAGATAAATCGGTTTTGAAAAAAATTGGTAACAAATACAACAACAATTAAAATTTATTTTTTTTACATATTATTTCATGCATTTAATTTCTTTAACTTTATCAAGTCCAGAAATCTTTGAACGGGTTGGCTATACTTTATGAGCAAGTAGTGACCAATTAAAAATAACATTTGAAAAATAACTTACTTACAAGACATGCAACAAAGAACATTCAACAATGAACAAAGGTACCTAAATGTTACTTCGGTAGATGTTCAAAATGAGCACCCCGTACTTCAATGCACTTTCTAATCCTACGAATGTTTTCCCGGTGCACTTGAAATAATATTCCGTGATTATTGCGGAGATGGTCACAGTTCTGTGTTAGCCTCAGCAGAAGTTCCTCTCTACTATTTACGGGTGTTGAATAAACGTTATTTTTTAAATGACCCCACAGAAAAAAGTCTAATGGGTTTAGGTCGGGCGACCTAGGTGGCCATAATACAGGTCCGCCTCGACCTATCCATCGATCACCAAAAACATTCGTCAGATGTTGACGTACTAAACGATCAAAGTGGGGTGGTGCACCGTCATGCATGTACCACATTTCAGTTCTTATTTGAAGGGGCACTTCTTCTAACAAAATATTTAGATTTTCCTCTAAAAATTGCAAATAAAGAGCACCATTAAGTCTTTGCTCCAGAATAAATGGACCAATCAAATGATTCCCGATAATGCCAGCCCACACATTCACCATAAACCTTTGTTGGTAGCGAGTTTGAACTAAAGCGTGAGGGTTTTCTTCATCCCAGACATGTAGATTATGCGAATTAATTATGCCGTCTCTTGTAAAACCTGCTTCATCGGTGAACAAAATAGATGTACCAAAATTATGATTCCGAATATGATGCTGTAAAAACCAATTGGCGTATTGAAGTCTTTTTGGATAATCATCTGGAGACATAGCATGTACTTTTTGGATGTGGTACGGGTAAAGCAATTGTTCTTTCAGAGTTTCATGTACAGCCCATTTTGTAACATTGTTTTGCGCCGCAAGCTTCCTTATGCTATTTGAAGGATTATTAGCAACGTCTTCCAATATTTGTTCCTCTACATGAGGGTCTCGTACTCTCCTCGGGGCTCCTGCTCCACCACGGCGTGGCAAAAAGCTTCCTAAATAAAGGATTCGGAAGAAATTAGTTTCACTAACGTTTTTCACTATTTTTTTTTACCTGTTTCTCTTAAACTACGATCAACTCTTTCAAAAGTTTTTGGACTCGGCAAATGTCGACCCGGAAACCTTTCCTCATAAAGTCTTCTTGCCTCCACGGAGTTGCATAATGCTTCCCCATAAATTAGGTGCATATCAGCATATTCTGCACAGGAATATTCTTCCATTTTTAAATGTTATTTCTAACGGCTTAAAACGAATACCACAATAAAATTGAATTTTTATTCTGTCACGCGCCTTTGACAAGTACTTTAAAATCAACAGGGTCTAACAACGAAAACAATAGAAAAGAACTCCATGGAGACAAGAGCAATAATAATTTGTAGATGTATTTTGGTCATAGATGTTGATTTTACAAGAAACGGCATTATTCATTCCCTTAATTCACCACCAGTAAATGTTTATGGTGAATCTGTAGGCTGGCACTAGCGGGAATGATTTTATTGTAAAAAAATAAATTTTAATTGTTGTTGTATTTGTTACCAATTTTTTTCAAAACCGATTTATCTCGCAAACCGTTCATTTTTTCGAAATAAATAAAGAGTACCATTTTTAAAGAAAAACCTTCAGAGTATCTAATAATAATATTTTCAGTTTGATAAAATTACTTCTGTCAAAATTTTGAGAAAAATTGTGATAGGGCCAGTCCGTTTCTGGACACCTGATAATAGCAAAAAGTTGATTTTAGCATCAAATCGTAGAGCTCCATGTGTAATACAACGTACGAAAATTTTATTAAAATATACAGGGTGGTTTCAAAGTTATAACCCTAAACGTTAATTTCTAGGTACCCCTTTGACCCCCCATAACTCCGTTAGGGGGCACATTAGGAAAAAATTTTATAGCGGGGACTAGTTTTATTTTGACCTCCCCTATACACTCCCGAGAGATTAGGAGGTACTTACCGGACACCCTGTATAAACGATGTACCCAAAATGTATCTATGACACATATAGTATGATATTTGATTCTGACGGGACAGATTGAAAAGGCAGAATGGATAATATTCCAGCAATAGTTGTATTTATTACTATTACCAATAATTGTTTGTACATAAGTTTCAACGTTAAAATCAAAATTCTTAATAAATATTGGGCGGAATTATAAAATTTAAAGTCTGTTGTAAAGAGAAAGAGTTTTCAAAAGAAATATTACTCAACCCCCAATGCCATTTAAATATTTTGGGGTGATGCTTACCCTTGCTTGGGGGGTGAAAGTGACGGAGTCAAAAATACCAGCAAAGAATATGTCCCCCTTTAATCTAAAATCGACGGGTCTGAGCGTTTTTATACAATCTTGTCGCAGTTCCTGAAAATGGTTCTGTTTTGTTTTCATTTAGCCACCCTGTGTTATATATCAAATATTAACGTTAATAAACTTTGTACTTTCATTTGTCTGCTTCATTTATACAAGGCACATTTACTATTCTACCCTTGCAGAAGAGAAAGGTACAAAATAGGGTCGAAATGCGTGCTATAATATTTAAGTCCGCTTATTTCGCCCTAAAGTGATATGACGTTGTTTTCCTATTCCGTTTCCTAGTAATAAACAAGCTATATCGCCTAAGTGAAAAATAAAATAATCGAGAAACAACTTGTTAGAATATAACAAATGTTAGAATATTGTTGGAGAGAAAGACAAAAAAATTCCACAAATTTTCAGTCGCTAAAAATAGCGTCGACTCAGAATAGAACCGAAGAAAATTCTACGCAAACAAAGCAATCGTCAATTAAAATTAACGAAATTGATAAGATTACTCCTTTGTTTTGCGTCAATCATGCTTGTTTTCCACGTTGCACATTTTGAAACATCCTCACGATTGGTCGGAGGTTCCCAATAGGACACACTGATAAGAACTGAAATTGAAAACCACTCAATCAAGTCGTTGTTCATTTTCTCAAGGACAAGTATCCGTGCAATGGGAATCCTTAAAATTGTTAAGCTGCTGCTATCAGGATAAGCCTTCTCAACACGTTTTGTTGTGATAACAAACACGTATTGTTAGTAAATAGGTGAAGCAATGTCAAGTTTGCGAGATAATACGTAATCTATAGAACAAAAATATTTATTTTTAGATTTTAATTTAGATAATTATTTATTACGAGCTATACTTACTAGGTGCTGGGGGTAGGCTCTGTGGGGTTGAGCCGGTATCAGAACCTTTAGCCCCACCCTGAGTTTGATTCTTTAGTTGCTTCCAAGCCGTTCTTTATGAAAATAAATATAATACAGTTTTACTGAACTCTACTTAGTTAGTATAAAGATATGTTGCGTTAAACATTGGGATCCTCTACATGCCCCTGCTCTATGTCGGTTCTTATGCGAAACACCCTGTATTTACATTTTTTGCCAGTTCTGAAGGAGCTCCAGTACAGAAAATTCATCACCGCATATTATTTTTGCAGTTTCTTACTGTATACAAAAACTATAAGAACATGACAGCAAATTAAATAAAAATTACTCCTTAGAATATAAAGACGTATATTTTCTCAATAAGTGTAACAACTATAAAAATACAAGTACTTTTAAAAAGTACACTAAAAATAAAAAAGCATATATTCGAAAGTAAAAATGTCAGAAACAAAACTGTTCCTGTTATGATTCATCAGTCAATTACAATACTTACATAACCTACATAACTCTAGTCTTACATTAAAAAGTTTAAAGCGGATTCGTAATCGATACTATTTTTCTAATTCTGCACTACCATATTTTTATAATTTTGTTTTTCAGGCGGTCTCTAATGGTTTTCAGCTTCAGCGCGCTTCCTACAACTAACTAATAGACAAACACTCAGTCTTCAATGTCATCTGTCGCACGTGGGCAAATTGACCGGAAAGAAGATGTTCAGCTCGATGAGAGAGGCAAAGATCAAGAAGGCTATGTACATCAGCAGGCACGCCAGTCCGACCTTCCAGTCTAACCTGTAACAAAACGATTTCCGTTGGGTTTAATGTGACGTGTGGGAACCTGTCATCTGGCTTGAAGGGGAACAAAGGGGTTAGTAGGGAATTATAGCCCTTCCAGACTTTTGTCTCTTACATGTTTGCTTTAAATCTGACTTAAGCCGTGATATAAAGAAATTTTCACGGCTGTTTTGAATAAGATCCGTCTATTATATGTCTTTAAATTTTGAAGGGGCATATATACATTTCTTGCTTGCAATGTTTTACCCAATGTTTCATAATTTTGAATAAGTTCACAATCGCGTTATCGAATATGTTTTTTTTATCTTATTTTCATCGACATGATATTTTTTTCGCAGTGAGATTAATTGATGTCTCCGACCTTGCATTGCATCATTTTTATTTCTGCAATTCTTGAACCAATAACTATTTAACAAAAAGGTACTAATAATCACAGCCCCACCAAAAAAAAGTGGCAGTTCCGAAAGACAAGACCATGGTATCCATATGGTTTTGGGGGTCGTTGAATCCGAAATTGATGTCCGTTTGAAGCGTTCAGGTCTATTAAATACTTTCTAATAGAAATAGATCAACATACGGAAGATACTTATATAAATATTTTGATATTAAACCTAAGTGAAAAATTTGATTGGGTTTAAGCAGAGATAAAGGTTTCACCAAGATATTAAAGAAGGGAGAAATTTGGTGGCAATGAAACTATCACTGATATTGCTAGTGATACTAGTGATGACGAATATATTCCATATTGTTGTGAAAAAGACAGGAACAATATCACAAAAAAAAGTAAATGATGTTCGAAATTTGAGACGAAGAGAATGGAGCAAAGATCCTAATATCATGGCTAAAAAAATACTAAGCAAACCGGAAAAGTGAAAGCTTTTTACTATCAGTACAGAAATAAGGAATATTTGATGATGATATTGTTGGATAAATCACTTCAAATATGGATGTTATAAACCTAACGCACATTGGAATAAGAGTGCCATATTTTGAGGATAGTCTTACATAGGATCAAATACGATTACATAGGAGCAAATAACCAGATCTGATCGTGTCAAACGGACACCGGATTCGGATTCAGCGACCCCAAAATCATTTGGATACCATGGTCTTGTCTTTCGGGCCCGGCATTTTTTTTTGTGGGGCTGTGAATTATTTAAAATGCAAGACATTCATCCTTTGTTGATAGAAGTCGCCATGATTGTTTTTAAAAGTTTCTTAAAAGTTTCAAAATAAATTTTCATGGATTCTTAAGGTTAAGGAAGAGATAATGTAATAAAAATAACTTTTTGTCGCTCAGTAACAATCTTTTCAAGGAATTTTGCAGACATGTGATATAAAAGAAACTCAGATAATACTTGTATTCCAAATTATTTCGTTATAACACAGCAGCCAAGATTAAAACTTAGCCAAACCAGTAGCAATGGAACTAAATTGTTTTCCTTAAAACTTTCTTGAAAAGGTAAATGCTAATTTGTAGATGAAAACTTAAGCTGTTACTGAGAAGTTGCGGGAGTTGGTGTAATTCAAAATCCCTTCGGAATTCAAACAATGTTTCTGTTATAAATTACTTTACAGGATATTTTACTAGCGCTCCACGGTTATACAGAATCTCAATGTAACCTCTAAAAGAGTTACAATTCTCCTTCTATTTAGAGTTATTGGAATGGAATTCATAACAAACTTACTTGAATTTGTTAAAAGCTATGCTGACGTATAACAACAGCAAAGTAGTTAGAAGAGCAAATGCACTACAGTTTATACCCGACGAATTAATCTGTATCCAATGATTGCCCTCCTGTTTGGGATAAAAAGCCGCCTTGATCAACCATGGAACTCCAAGACACAGCAAGATGTCGAAGGTGTTGGAACCGATGGAACTGCTAAGACCCATCGTACCATGACCTGAAACAACACCAAAGTATTCAATTTGTCTATTATTCTAACGAGCGTTCAAATAAAAACGTGGTCGAAGTTGGCTCTGACACATTGGACGTAGGGAGTAGCTTATAGCGACCAACTTAACCTCATTTCTCAACGAGCTGTATAGCAGCTGTCAGTTTCAATAACGTTAATGACTATATAACTTTATTTTAAAGAATAATCGTGATAACAATAACAAACAATTAAAGGAGCTGCGGAAAGTGTCCCCCTCCTTGTTATAACAATAAATTAAAGCAGCTGCTGAAAGTGTCCCCCTCCTTGTTCCAAGCACTTTTCACACCTGTTCCTCAAAGAATTAAAGACATTTTCTAAGATGCTCGGGGTATTGTTAATTTCACGAATCTTGTCTATAAGTCGAGCCTGCAGATGGTTTAAATCAGGAATAGGCAGTTCAAAAATAGTGTTTTTAAGGTAAGGCCACAAAAAGAAATCACACGGCGTAATATCACATGACCTCGGTGGAAATTCATGTTCAGCATTGAGACTTATTAGTCGATTTTGGAAAACTTCCCTCAACATATTCATCGTCTCGCCTGCCGTATGTGCCCTTGCGCCATCTTGTTGAAAGTAAAAGTTTGTAATTTCGTTTTCTTCCAGCTGGTTAACAAAAGGAGCGATAATTTCTTCTCTATACCTTTGCGCAGTAAGAGTACCATTAAAAAAAATAGGTCCATAAATCCTCCTTCGATTGAGAGCACACCAAACTCCAATTTTTTGAGCGTGTAGAGGGCCCTCGACAAAAAAGTTATCTGGTTTTTCAGAAGACCACATTCTCATATTCTGTGAGTTTACGTAACCACTTAAATGAAACCAGGCTTCATCAGAAAAAAAGGTGATATTATGAAGTTCACCGTAGTTGTTTAAAAACCATTCACAAAATACAGCCCGTCGCGGAAAATCAACTTCATGAAGTTCTTGCTGACAAGTTAAACGATAGGAGAACAAACGCAAATCTTTTTTTAACACTGTGTGGCAGGTACCGACTGATACTCCCACCATTTGTGATAAAACACGTACAGAAGTTCTTGGCGCATTTTCCATTATTTGTTGGACATTTTCTTTTAATTCTTCAGTCCGCTTTTTAGGTCGGCCGCTTCCTTCTTTTCTTGTTACACTGCCCGTTTCACGAAAAACATTAACACAACGCTGAACTGCACTTTGAAAAATTTTGTACTCAACAACGCCGGGAAATTGATTTTGAAATTCTATGAAACATTCCTCAATAGAATACTTCCATATTCCATCAATCTTGCGTCCATTTCTAAAGTAGGACTCTATGATAAACACTTTTTGTTCTTGAGAAAACACCATTTTAAACGCTTTTTAAAACGAAAATATTCAAATTGATAGCGGCGATATAGCGCTTTGACAGATGACGTTTAAGTTCATTTGCTATACGCTACGCCCTACGTCCAAATTTTCAGAACCAACTCGACCACGTTTTTATTTGAACGCTCATTATAATCTAATCCAAGCATAGTCTTGCTTATTTTCGAGTTTTATTTTAAGATCACTTACCTAATCTAGCCACGATCACGCTGGATACAGCTTCAGGAACACTGGTTCCAGCTGCCAGGAACGTCAGACCCATGACAGAGTCGGGAATGTTCAAGGTGTCCCCTGGAAGAAAAAAAAAAATTTCAGTAGTCAATCAACATTATCTTAGTACTGATACAACTTACCTATCACAGTAATCAACCAAGCTACCATGTAAGAAGTTGTTCCTATCCAAAATATGCACATAACAAAAGTGATGACGAATAATCTAGGATATTTCCTGCAATCTGGAGTTGTTATCTGCAAGAGGAAAGATATAGGCCAGGTGATGACCCACCATATCTGACCTTTTCTGCTCCAACCACTTGGCCATTCCCAAATTTTCGTGGATTCCTCTGAAAATACATTAGTTGGGATTAATTAATTCGGTTCAGAACTACAAATCGTTCAAATAGAAGGTAATATGTTCAATTTTTACTTCGCAAGTTCGATCTAATCTGAAAAGGATAAAGAATTGTATTGACTGGAAGAAATATTAGATAATGATAGTGACACTTGACTTTTCAGAAAAGAATGAGTGAAAGAAGTTTTAGTTTTGTAGCTTAGAAAACCAAACTAGGAGTCTTAGTCTTGATCTTTCTTGATTAATAGTTCCAGACATTGAACCAACTAACTAATGGTAGTGATGTGAGCTCAATGAAGTGAGCGATTGTTTAAAAGAGGATTGCATCTTTTATGAAACTAGAAATAGTGACTAGTACTTACCGAGGTCCTCGCAGTCTTTGAGGGTGAGTTCGGTCTCAAGAATTTCATGCACCCCGCTGTACTTGCCGTTTCTCTGAAAAAGCAAAGGATGAGTTTCACTCATAACCTCTACATAGTAGTTCCGTCTTCGAAATTTCGCAAGTAATCTATGAGCCACCGAACTGAGTTTGCTATTATAACACATTACTGGAAATCAAAAAGTCATTAATGTAGAGGTTGCTCTCTCAAACATCAATTAGTATTAAAATATAGTTTTTAAGTGGGGGGTTTCCTTTTAGCTCAAAGCAAGCAGACTTTTCAAATAACATTTTTGTGACCCAAAGATAATTAATATGGGGAATGTTGGTAAAGTACCATTACAGCATCGCGACTTTATCCTGAAACTCGTAAGTTTGTCTGTGTTGAGTAATAGGACACCTACAGAAAGAAGAATGATGTAAGACGAAAGTGTTTTAGATCCAAGAACTGCTGACCGATATAATGGCCTCCAAAGTCGCCAGATTGTAATCCATGCAGTTTTCACCAGTGGAGTTTGAAAGGTTTGGTGTATAAGACGGAAGCAAACTCACTAGCAGGAATTCCGCGAATGCATAGAAAATGTCGCGGTAATGTTTGCTTCTAGCAGCGTGCACAGTCTTGGATACTCCGAACGATAGCTTATGTGAATGAAAACAACGGCGATAACTTTGAACATCTTCCTTTGGCTTCATCGGTCATACCTAAATTAAAAGGCCAGTTTCTTATTTTTTTATTTTTGTTGTCCAGAAAATGTTATTTGAAAGATATTCTTGCTTCTTTGAGTTCTATATCATGTTAAAATAAAAACTCCAAATTAAAAACCATCCTGTATTAAATAGAGGAATTTTTCTTTGCTTTCGATTAATTCCTTCAGCAATTATAAATGGATGATAAAACTATTACATTTTTTTATAACAGTAAATTCTTTTTTCCTTGTTTATCCTGCATATGAAGAGGTAATTTTTTACATTCGTCTGGTTCCTAACAACAGAAAAGCATATGTTGCTACGTCTGAGGGTTAGTATTGATGTTGCAGATACTCTTCACTTTTTTGTTTATGCTGGCTGAACCCAATTTATTTTTACAGTGAATTCGAATTGTACATAACTGTGAATAAATAATAAATACACTGCATGAAAAACCACTCGCTCTGTCCCATTGTTAAACACGTGATGCAAATATCGGGTAAATGTAAACATATTTTTTTGCCTACTTTGTTTACTAGTTCTTCAAACCGCTGAAACATCGGTAAATATCGTGATGCGTTTCAGTGTACTATTAGTGTTGATAATTAGTGTTAGAATAATTAACAGATAACCCAACAGTATCAACATACCCAGTTGGGAGGAATATTTACAATTAGAGATTTAGTTCATGTCTGTATGCTTCAAAATTATAAACATTACTTAAGAAGAGTATTTACTTAAAGTCAAGAGTAAAAGTAGGAGCGAATGCAAATATTGTGCTGTGTCTATTTTAATGATTTTTGCAACGCTATTTTTATACCCGGGTACTTCCGGGGGAACTTTAGTGTTTTGGACAACTAGGCACCTCTTTTTTATGCTAGTACGTGCAAATTGTCTTCAAATTAATCGTATGATCTCACTTATAGATTTTCTAATCCGATTAAAGTTTGTTACTGAGAGCAAATGCTAAGGCTATTAACTAAATTTTCTTTTTCTACCAAAGAAAATGCTTTTACTTTTAAATATGAAGCAGATACTACAAAATAGTGACCATCGTTACTGAATAATTTGCTTGGAAAACATCTATGAGACCCATTATTTATTACAGTTGACATTTTGTTTGCACACCAGATTTTAAAGAAATCTTGAAAGTCCTTTTAAAAAATACTAAATCAATATTAAATAATACCCCAGCGTTAAATTTAGTGGAAATCGATGGTTCTCGTATTATAAAGGATTCTAACTTACGCGTATACGCACGAGTTACCTACGAAACCGGAAGCGAAAACAGTGAGGCAAAATGTAAAATAAATCGTAATTGTCGAGGGCGACAGAATCCCTTCTGCTGCGGCTGGTGTATGAATGAATAAAACTCTACAAACAAGCAATGCCCCATGATTATTTCTTACCGGGAATGAAATTGGGTCAAGAATCTGTAAATTAAAAATATATTCCTTTGAGCGGTGTTTAATATCACTTTATTGGCGTTTGTCCTCAGCAAAGCTCAGTTACATTCGTACGAAAACTCATTCCGAGTATTGTTAAAATTGACGTACATATTATAAACCGAACGTATTTTAATATGTTGTAGGTAAGAAATAGAAACTAGACAAACAGGTTCTAGGCAGCATATTTGTTATCTTGCCGTATAAGAAATTTTGTGAATATTAAAGAAAAATTATATTATTAAAATATTAGGGGAGAGTGTTGTACCTTGGGTATGCGTGTACCTCGGTCCATTTGCTTTTAATCATTGTTTACACATATCTACAGGCCGCTGCATATGACAAATTGGTCATTCCGAATGTAGACGGCAAGGAAGTATTGTTTTGACATTCAGATTTAAGTCCCCTGAAAATTGTTGTTGTGTCGTTATTTTGTAGTAGCAAATATTTTACTCATCATAAATCTAGAATCATCCGCATTACTGGTACGCATGTTGTTTTCTGTATTATGCTTAGATGATTAATAAAGCTTAGGCGTTCCTTTAATAATAATGTTTTGTTTTTAATTATAATCTAAAATTTTTTTCGTCAATAAATAAATTTACTTGCCTGTGCTTGTACCTTGGACCGTAACTAGGTCCTGTACCACGGACCGGTCCAAGATACGGTACCTCTTTATCGTCAATAATAAATACCGATCATTTACTTTATTGAAATAATCGTTTTCTTCGGATTTTGCATTAACCATGCCACGCAGCAAAAAGGGAGTTAAAAGAACACCAGTAAATAAACATAATATTACATGTGCCGTTAATAAAATGTTAAATAAGGTAGTCTCTATTCGTGAAGCTTCTCGCACTTACGATTTTCCTAAAACAACACTGATCAGACACCTAAGCAAACATAAAAGAATGGAAGGCTCTGCAGAATTTCAGTATCAAGCCAATAATAAAACAAAACAAGTTTTTTTGGTCGAAGAAGAAAATAGCTTGACAGAATATTTGATTATAGCTATCCATCTTCATTATGGTTTAACAAAAATAGAAGTTCGGTGCCTTGCCTACCAGTTTGCAGTAGAAAATAAAATTAATTTTCCACCATCGTGAGACCAACATAAAAAAAAGAAAATATAAATATGTAATAAATATTAGAGAAATATTTGTTTACTTTTGTATTTTTGTTTTTTTTTAGAATTATATGTTCTACGTTGTTTTATGTATGTTTTTAGTTTTATTTTTGACTGGACTAATGTACACCAGTATGAAGTCCAAGGTACCAGACCATGTTGTACCATGGTCCATTTTGTAGAAGGTTGAAAAAGGAAAATTTTTTCAATTATACATTATTATATAATCAACGTAGCAGATATTTCAATTTTCATATCACAAGTTTTAAGTTAATAAATAAAAAAGTTATATTTCCTAATGTAAAAATTGTCCCAAGGTACAACACTCTCCCCTACGATTCAAGAGTTAACTGGAAAGCGAGATGGATTTTTTAACTGAAAAAATCTAAAACAAGCGTATGAAACAGTTCTGCAGAATAGAATAAACAAATCTTTGACTGCTTACAATATGAAGATGGGAAATCGTGAAAATTATAGAGAAAGTGTAATTATAACAACATGGAACTCCACAGCAAAACAATTACAAGAAACAGAAATTCTTTGTGAAAGATGTAAAAAAAGTTCTGTCCATTTTCTGATTTAGAATTGAATTTCTGACTGCCAAATTCGGACAGTCCTCAAATATATCTTCCACCAATTCCAAACTGGAACACTGGAAGGAACTATATATTTGTGTTCTAAATCCACAGCTTTCGAAACGAAAATAACCAATCATTCTTCAAGGGGGACTTTTATATCAAATTTCGCAAAAAAGGATATTGGAGAACAATAACTTATTAAAATTACAGGACACAGTAACTGCAAATCAATCAAGCCTTACATTTGGATGTCGAGGCAGATCATTGAATCATAAGAAATACTATACCTAATACCTGTAATTTTAATTATGACCGAAAAATATCAGAAAATATTGAAACAGAAAATTCAAACCATTAATTCAAACCAACCCAGAATCGTTTGTATTTTTTAATGTTACCTATCAATAACTGTAAATAATATTGTATTAATATTAATTTGATTATCAGATGAATTAATTTACTTAACAAATTTTTAAAATATTACTAAAAATATTATTAACAATTAATGAAGAAAATCCAATTCAATTCCAATTCCAATTTGTTCAAAATAATAAAACGTAAGACGTATCTAGGTAGTTTTCTACGTAGAACTCAAATAAAACTGGAATGATTGGCGATTAGAAAAAAAAACAAATTACCAATTATTTTAGTTAAGAAAGACCTAAGTACATGTATTTGTTACCTGCATTCATTATACAGGCTATTTCAGAAACACATCCAGTAAATACAGGGGGGTGATAGTACGTCAAAAAATAAGAATTTCATAAGACAAAAAATACGAATTTATTGTCTTATGAACTATATGTCTATATCCTCTTGTTTTCGAGATACAGAGCGACAAATTAACATTTTTTAAATAGAATTTTTACGAGAATTTCCAAACAATGAATGAATTTCCAATGAATTTTATTTTGTCGCTCTGTATCTCGAAAACAAGAGGAGATAGACATATAGTTTATAAGACAAAAAATTCTTATTTTCCATTTTTCCTACTATCACCCCTTCTATTTACGGGAGGTCTTTCTACCTGTATATTGTACTAAAAAGAATTTTCTGGAAGACGATAAATTAATTGCTTATAGGTATAAATAATATCAATAAATGTCACAAATGTCATCATAAATTTCAGCATATTTTTTCCGGTAACGCCTCAAAATAACATCATTTGATTGGCTACAGAAGAGGGATGGGAAATTTTCAAATAAATTTATTTCATTTGAAAATACATATAAAAAATTGTAGTCATATTATTGAAATTATCCACCTGTATGAAAAATACCACTTTGTTCTAGAACCAAAAATCTGTTTGTTTCATTTAACTATTTGTAATTGTACCTTTGACACTTAAAAAATTGAATCAAAATGTCGATATTTGATGACGTTATTCAAAAAAAATATTGTGTTGCATTGCAGCTCTAAGAATAAAATTGAAGAATAATAGAGAGACTCAGATTGAATTTTCTCTGTTTACTATTCTGCGTGTTGCTTTTATATGTAGATCAACGCAAACTGCATCATATTTCAATTGCCAATACCGATAGAATCAATCGATAGTGAAATTTGACTTCGCAGGTAAATATCCGAAATCCTATTATTAGCAGCGTATCCGATGGATTTCCATACGCCATATTTACGTCTAAAAAGCGGATATCGTCATTTTGTCAATCTATCACTGTCTCCCGCCTGTCCCAGCACCTAATACTCCGGCCGGCGCTTTTATTGTTGGTACATAACATGTGTAACACTGTATATCAACATTGTGATTTGATAACGATTTATTGTCGGCTGATTTATTAATTACTTCACCATTTCGGACAGGTTACCAGATATTGCCATTCAGTTCTCCCGTGATATTGTTTACTACACCGAGATCTGGCTGACTAAGACATAAAAAGCGTTTTTTTTTTGTAGAAAAAAAAACAGCTAGTTTTTAATCTCCGGCAATAATAATAGATCATAACTGGCATGTGATTGACCTGAACAGGCCAACATGATAAAGTTAATTTATAACATTTTAATAGAACGAGTTGAGTCAAAGATCTTAAAAATGTCAAAGGGAAAGGTATTTGGAAAATTAGTAAAATTGATTTTAAAGAAAAAATTGAATAAGTTGAATAAGTTTGCAAGGGAAAGGAACAAAACAAACATTAGATTCCAGTACCTGAAAGTTAATTATGATGCTTTTCTCTTAACCCAACCATCTAATTCTCCGACCCAATTTGCGTTAAAAGAAGGATGTGTAACTGATAACGTTAAAACTAACTAGATTAACGAATTTTAATGGCGGTTTGAAAGTAGATCCCTTTTCCCAGCTTTTAGACTTTCCTCCCACCACTTCCAAATCGAAATTCCGGACTCTCTTTGAACCCCCTCTAATGAATTTATAAGTAAGGATAGATTTATTTTCCTCTTCAGGATAAGCGAAACCAGGAAGTTGACAGTATTCGTTGCGAGATTCGCATCTTCTCAAACTTTAAATGCCAATAATAAATAATTAATACGGCATTTTGTATTATTCACAACGACGACATCAACTTGGAAGTTTATAAAGTAAAACCGATTCAAATTTTCTATTTAAAAACTGAAACAAACAGAAAACATGTTCGATTGAAGCGATACGTCAATCAATAGAAATTCAAATCGATACAAAGGTCACGTAATTCGATATGATAAATGTTTAATTGGGCAATAACAATCAATTCACTGGTTGATTTAATTAATCTCTTTACTAAAATAACTCAAAATCAACTACATAATTTACTGCGGTATCTGATAGATTTCAACAACTCATGAATAATAACCGATATTGTGGATCATAACAACGCTGATTAAGAGTGTGCATCTTTAATTATAGTTTATGTCCTATAACTCTACTATAGCACTCCCATCCTTTGAATAGATTGCCTAAATAACAAGTATTCTATTTACACTACTAGGTAATGCGTAAATTTGTAATTGATTTACTATACTATAAGGATTATACAACTAATTCCTTGAATTGATAAATGTTTCACCAAAACATATTGAGAAGACAGTAAGGAAAATATTTTAAGAGGACTTATTTTGTTTGTGAGACGCCATTCGATCAAGAGTAACCATAGATATAGAACAAGCAACAATAGAGCATCATCAACATTGTAGTCGTTCAAAAATTTCTCCCCAATCATAGGTAAAAGTGAAATGCCATCATAAGTACTTGTGAATGTGCCACATCTCAATATAATGTACTGTTGCATAACAAAGAATTTTAAATTTACCATAACGAAAAATACTTCAACTCTAAGTTGGTAGAACGTATAAATAGATATTCAAGTGTTAACTGTCAAGTTATTTATACGTTGTTTCTATTTTATTGCTTTTGTCAATAGCAGTACCTAAATATTTTCTGAAACTTATTTTTATCACCATATTGAAACTATGTATCGATATTATCAGACAACGAAATGATCTTAATCGAAAACGCTATATAATTGGTTTTACTGAAATTTAATGATAACTGTCCGACTAATTAAATTTTAACAGCAATTAAACCGCGTTTTATTTGATCTTTAATGTTTTCCCAAATAATTGCAATACAGATAACTACTGTGTCATCAGTATATTATATTATTTTACCATTATTTAGAGTTAATAGAGAATTGATGTAGACTACAAAAAGTAAGGGACCAGTTACTGTTCCTTGTGACACACTTAAACCCTATGTGGGCGATCTAATAAAAAATCAAGCAGCATTTATCGATCTATAGCTTTGTAAGTAGTTTGTCAAGAATCCATAATGGTTGTAATTTCTTTAATCACTTCGTACATTGCTTCTTTGGAAATACAAGCTGTTTTTGATTCAATATGTTGCTGTTTGCCGTTTTTGAGAAAACCTGCAAGTCTAGTTTGAAGTCATCTCTCAAATATTTTTCTAAAGTTTATCAAATCAATTGGCCTGTAATTTGATGCTTTTGTATTTTCATAAAAGAAATGTGCCATACTGTCTGTCCTGTTGCAAAGTCTTCACTGAAGTCACTGCTTATAATTATTCTGTACTAGTGACAAATATTGAGAAATGCTATTTTAGTTAATGCATGTTTGTACGGGGTCTCAAACTCGATAGTAAGGGCCTACTGTGAGGATACAAAAAATTTAAATAAAATTTGTGACATGTGGTGTAAAATGGGATGAGGTAAGCTCCATTTTCAATAGAAAGTATTATCTTGGATTTGACAGAAACATACCCGATTTTTATGTTAAAAAGGTCTCTTTTTTCTAACAAACTTTTATTAGACAAATTTTTCTGTATCATTTCCCATTTAAAAGTTATAACTAATATCGCACTAAAAAGTCCCAAAAGAAATACCACTTAAAAATCTCATTTAACACCGCGTATCCCAATTTTTATTTAAATTTTTTGTATCCTCACAATAGGCCCATACTATCGAGCTTGAGATACCCCGTACATAATCAAAACACGTATTTCTCATAAAGAAATCCCGAATTCATACCAGTAACCACAATACCTGAGAAGTACCAAATGAATTGATTCATACTTACGCAGGATATACAACGAGTAGGCTAACACCAGCATTAAAGCTTCGTAGAGATAAATCCTGCCGTCCTGAAGGACTACAATGAGCAGAACCACGGAGATCCCGTACATGGTGCTGTCGCGACTGATTGGCCACCACTCAACCTCCAAAACCTGAAAGAGACGAGAACATTAATCACCGCATCGATTTCCACAACTTGGCGAAAGTTTTCCGAACTAGGCTTGTCTATTGCATGGTTAAAGGACAGACGATTGATTTGATGGAGAGTGGAAACAATTTTTATTGCGTTTTATCAAACGGACCTCTCAAGGACAGCGGAGAAAGCTCGATTAGATTGATTGAAATGCTTTGCTCTTAAGGGTAAATCGTTTTGTAAATACGAGCTGCGGCAAATTACCTGTCTGTTAACCGTTACTGTTTCTATTTTTTTTTTAAAGTACAGAAATCCAAAAATTATTAGTTATTTAAATTTCAATTCAATAAAGCAAAAATAAAAGTAATATATTAAACAACCAATATGCTGGTGACCTTGTCTTTGACCTTGATTTAAGTTTCAAGGTTAAACCAAGGCCAGTTGAAAATATTATGTGGAATACCTTAATTTTTATACTAGAAATCAAAAGAGCGAAGTTAAACATTTTTTTCTATGTGTCCTTGTACCCCCTCTAACGATTGCTGTCTTTAAAAAATATTTTCATGTTGACTTTGATTTGACCCTGAAATCTAAGGTCAAAATCAAATACAATCATCAGATCAAATCACCCGCGTATTGGTTTGTTGATTTCCTACAACATTCATTGAATGGTACCCATGCAATGAAAATACTGTACATGCAATTTAACTAAAAAATTAAAAGCAATTTAAAACATTTTTCGAAAATAATGTTTCAAAACATTTTTTAAACTTTGATGATTATTGGGTGAATATTCTCGGCAGTGGACAGGATAAGTAAAGTAAGAATAAATAGTATACTACATCTTATAGGTACTTCTATTTTCAGTACAGCAGAAATATCCAATTAAATAAAAACAATAATGCCGCAAATAGATAATTATGACAATGTTTGTTTATTGATTAAAAAATAAGTGGTAGTTGACAGTTGAAACAATAGCTCGCATTTTTAAAGCATTATAATTCAAATCTTGATATTAATTTACGGTGAAAAAAAAACTGTCATTTCTGCTTTTATGGAAGATAAATGAGGCTTTTTGTAATACAATCTTTAATTGTTTTAATTATCATTAGTTAAGAACAATATTTTTCTTGAATTTTGTCCTTAATCATAGCAACAAATTTTTCAAAAGGAAAATAAATAATCATCTATTATTTAAATCACATTTCATTTTGTTTCTGGTACTTATTTTATTAGTTTACATATTTTTCTGACCTCATACTACATAAGTTTACGGTTTCATAAAACAAAATGTTTGTGAACATATCTGACGGTAATACCTATATTTCAAGATGAGCACTAAAAACGTTTGCAACTTTGGATAAAACTAGAGGTAGAGGAATGCTGAAAATTTGTTATTTATGCCATGAAAAAGAAACCACTCGTAAGATATAAGTTCCAACGGAAATATTTCTTGGTTTTAAATTGCAGAAGAATGCAGGCAAGGTAGATATTTCTGGGACATTAGTGTTTCGATATTTATAAAAATTTTCATGTCACATATTACTATTAATTAGTTGAATGCGGTTTAAATGCAGTGACCAGTTTCAAAAAGAAACACCCTTGTAAAAAAATAATTCGCGCTTTTTTATGAGAGATGGAACATAAAAAAGTCTGTTAAATATATGTATATTTATTTTACGGTATCAAATTTGACAAAAAATTGTTAACGACTTTTTGATTTAAAATCTGACTGCTTAAATTTGTTGATTTTTTTCTACAAACCGCATAGAGAAGGTACAGAATGCATTGACGTAGTCAAATTTTAATTAAAAAATTTACTAACCAATTTTTTGTTAAATAAATAAATAAAAAGTATCTATATGATGTAATACAATTAAATAGCTCAATAAATATTTTTTTACACGCGTATTACCATTTGGAATGAGTAATATATATTTTTAGCTTAGTTTCGAATTCTTAAGAACATTTCTATTTTTATAGGAAGCTGGAATTATTACTTGAAACCGGAGAATTATCAGGCCCTTAATATTGAATTCCTCATAAAAGTTTTATTTGAAACCCGAGATAATTATTATCTACAGCTTTGTTAACATTTTTATCTTTTTCCAGTTGGTTCGCTCTGAATTTGTTATTTCAAGAAATACAGGTGAAACTTCGCTATAAAATTAAATATTACCTATGTCTGAATAACTGAATAAATTTTAAACGAGTTACGGATAATCACATTCCAATAATAATCAATTTTCTTTCAATTTCCGTAGAAACAAAGTAGCTTGCAATTAATTTATATTGTTATTATACGCGACATTAAAAACAGACTCGATGTCACCAAAAAAGTTGTAATGAATGAAATATTTACGCATTGTGAGAAAAAATTGTTCAAACTTGTTATATTTACAAGCGCTGCACAGTGTGTTTTTTAAAGTTTATCTTAAGCTTTTCATCGCGCCCATTCAGGTAGCTTCAGCCGATTTGATTTGACAGGTACCTATTTATCCAGTATTATTGTGATTTACCCAGTGCTCTTATCACCGTGGTCTGTTGTTTACATCTGTCTTACAAAGTAGCCTATGTGTTTGACAATATACTCGTAGAATTAATGGATACTGTTTAATTTATCGCAGAACAAGACAAAAATTTATGCACTAGGATTTGTTGGAGATACTTCTTTGTATACTTCAATATTTTGAGTAAAAAGTATAACATTTTAGATAATTTTACAGTAAAAAGATATACTCTTATATGATTTTGATAAGTTGCGATGTTATTGCAATAGATTCGTTTTAAAAATTATGTTACATATAAAAAGTAAACGAAAAGCCATTTGTGTAAACACTGTAAACCTAGTACAATATACTTCGAAAACAATTGATAATAACTTATTTGATAAGAAGATATAAGCTCTCAAAATTAATTGCTACAAATACTAATATATGTTAAAAAAAATGTACAATCTATAAGTGTTTAGGGAAATAATAATTGAATGAAAAAATATATATTTTAGATTGAATAGTGAAAAACCATAATTTAGTAATTATTATTAAACATTTTTCTATATTTTCGGAATATTGCCATTTTTCCCATAGACCACCTAGACCGGCTGTATCTAATTCCAATGCACGGGTACCAGTGAATGTAAATTGCGGAGAAGTGGAGTGTGCGAGGTAATCTGACCACGCCTATTTTGGACAGATCTGGATTAAGTAATATTTTTATTACATATTAAACATTATTTTGCATCCTATGATAAACATTCATATTTTAAGTTTGGAATTCAGAAAATAGAATATTTTAGTGTCATATTAAATAACTACAAAATAAAATTTAAATATATTTATTGTCCTCTAAATAATGTCAGTTTATTTAATATTTGTCTTTTCGTAGATTTTATTGCAATAAATATTTTGACTTCATAATTTATTCTCACATCAATATACTTTTCACATACAGCCCTTACAATTTCTATTAAATAATTACAATTGTTAGGGAAATTATCAAATTGATGTTCATGCAAATTTTTAAATATGTTCACATTCAAAAAGTTTTTTAATACACAATTTTATTTTTCTGTAGCTTGGGTGTACTGCTTTTGTAGTTATAAAAAAAATTATTATTTTTTCTGTTTCTTATGTCATTTTTTTTTAAACGACGTTTATTTTCTGTAGGTTATCTTTTTTTTTGTTTTTTGAATATGAAGACAAGCCGCCTAACATATTTTAGTTTCTTCTTTCTTGGGGTATCATCACTAAGATGTTTATATAATCTTTTCATTATCCGTGATATTCAAAGTTGACATCGAAGATGTACTACTTAGGTCAAAATATGATTGCGACGTGGTAAGTTGGCTGATAGGAGACGTAAAAGAATCTGAAGATTGGGACTGTTCATGTTCATAAAAAACTATTAGTGAAGACAATATTATAAAATTATGTGGTGAGCATTAAAATGTTCAGTAAGTATTGGGAGAGTCCTACATGCAAAAAAAAATCATTCAAATCGCACAATCCAGGCAAATGTGATTAAAACATATACGTGAAAATTTTGATGGTATCCAATACTGTTTTTTTTTAAAGCTTTCACCTGTCTGTACTTTATGTCAACATTCCCTGGAAATCTGTAAAAATTAAAATATTAGATTAAAAAAATCGAAGCAAGTATAAAAATTTGGTAATTATTTATTTTACCATAAAACTCTGATCTTTCTAATCAAATTTTGCCAACTCCCCTTTTCCAGGGTGCTGAACATGAATTTAAAATTATTTTTTTGTTATTTTTTCGATCGCAAAAATTTATTAATTTTCAGCTCCCTCAGAATTACGGGAATTGGCAAAATTTCATGTAAATTGAAGACTTTTACGTAAAGTAACAAATTGTTAAAAATGTGACAATCATTTATTCAATATTTTATTAACAATTTATAATAATATCACATTTACCATTGCATTATGTGTGCGAACAAAATTATAAAGTCAACACTGCAATACTCTGACCTTAACCAAAAAAATGGCGGATACAGGGTGTTTAAGAAAGACTTCCCGTAAATACAGGGGTGATTGTAAGATACAAAATAAGAATTGTTTGTCTTATGAAAATTTTTTAAATAGAATTTTTACGAAAATTTCCAAACGGTGAGAAATATTTTTATGAAATTTGGTATTCCGGGGTTTTTTAGGATGCCAAATACGCTGGTCTAATTATTTTTTGGATATTTCATGGAGGGCGCTAGTTATACTACATTCCTATTACATTTTAAGTTGAAATTTTTTTAAGGTTAGGTTTTTTACCATTCGGGCTCCAATTTCTAATGTACAATTTTATTTTCTAAATGTACTGTATATAATGTACTCTTGTTAGAACTTCCTAATGTGGACGGTTTTTGAGAAAAAAGGCTTTTAATTGAACTGTTACAATATTGCGGTGTAGAAAATAAGTGACTTTTCTCAAAGTAGGCTTATGTCAAAACTTATTGATGAACGTCTCATAAACAACGCATACATTCTTAGTAATATTTAAAACTCCGATTAACTTTATATTAGAATTTTAGTGACTGTAATTAGTCGTTACTAACTACAGTCACTAACAATCACTAAAATATTGATATGGTTAATTAGAGTTTAAAGTATTACTAAAAATGTATGCGTTGTTTATGAGACATCCATAAATAAGTTTTGACATAAGCCTACTTTGAAAAAAGTCACTTATTTTATACACCGTAATATTGTCAGAGTTTAATTAAAAGCCTTTTTCTCGGAAATTGACCACATTAGGAAGTTCTAACAAGAGTACATTATTTTTAGAAAATAAAATTGTACCTACAATAGAAATTGGAGCCCGAATGGTAAAAAACCTATCCATATAAAAATTTGAATCTAAAAAGTAATACGAATGTAGCATAACTATAGTCTGTTTGGAAATGAAAGAGAGTAATAAAACCCCGAGATAAGAACCGGCCATGGGCGTGGTAATATTTCGTTTCAGGTAATTATCGGGTAACACTAATGCTAACAAAAATGACAGAGATTGGAAAATCGATTATCTACAGACTTTTAAGGAAACAAAAAATGAACAAGATACTGTAAATCCCCCAAAATCATCTACAGGGAGGTCAAAAGTCGTTATAGATGATTCTTCAAAAATGTCATTCGCATAAAAGTACACTCATTTTATTTTAAAAAAGAAATACCAACGCTAAACAAAATTTTAAGTGAACTTTCAGAGGACAACGATTTGCCAAAAATCAGTAGAAGCAAATTATGGGCCGTCTTACGAGAGTTGAATTTTTGCTGGGAAAAGCAGAACAGGAAGTCAGTTCTTATCGATAAAGATGAAATTATTTGTTGGCGAAGATCCTACTTAAGATCAATTAGAAAATTCCGTGACGAAGGGAGGAATATTTATTATCTAGACGAAACTTGGGTCAACGAGGGATATACTGTAACAAAAGTATGGCAAGATAAAAATGTAAAAAGTTTTCGACAAGCATTTTTGGATGGACTTTCAACAGGGTTCAAGGCACCTTCAGGTAAAGGGCGAAGATTAATAGTGACACATATAGGTAGTGCCAGTGGTTTTGTAGATGGCGGTTTACTTTTATTTGAATCTAAAAATACAGGTGACTATCACGAAGACATGAACGCAGATGTTTTCGAAGAGTATTTTACACAGATGTTGGATCTTATTCCTCCGGGGTCTGTAATTGTCATGGATAATGCCAGTTACCATTCACGGCAGACCGAGCGGACGCCTACGACTGCTTGGAGGAAAGCCGATATAATTCAATGGTTATCCGGAAAAAACATTTCTTTTGAAACAAATATGGTGAAAAAGGAACTTTTGACACTTGTCAATCTTAATAAAGATCAGAAAAAATATGTTATCGATGAAATGGCAACAAATCGCCAAATAACGGTACTACGGTTACCACCTTATCACTGTGAACTTAACCCAATCGAATTAGTCTGGGCGCAGGTAAAAGGAGATGTAGCGCGAAATAATACGACGTTTAAATTAAGTGACGTGAAAATTTTGTTAAAAAATTCCTTGGAACGAGTAACTGCAGATAACTGGCAAAGATGTATACATCATGTACAAAAAGAAGAGGAGAAAATGTGGGAACTCGATAATTTAATTGACGTTACTGTGGAACCTATCGTTATCAATCTAGGAGACGAAGATAATTCATCAGAATATTCAGAGGATGAATTTTAATATACCTACTTTTTTATTTTCTTTATTGTACATTTATACAACACTACATTTACTCACCATAATTTGAATTTTCAAAATACATATATTTTTGTGTGGAATAAAAGTCTATTCATTAAATTTAAATAAATATTTTGATAATAATATTGAATAATTTTATTTGAATTACTAAAAACCCTCTTAACCCGGTTATGATGCTTAAAGTAGCCTCATGTTTTGAAATGCTGTTTTTATATTGTCTACTTATAAGAGAAATGGACCGAGAAATTGAAGCGGCACAGACAAAGACGGATTGTCAGGGATTAAATTTTAGCTACCTGCTCCAATTTAGTACAGTCCGATCGCACAAAGTTTTTTTAAAAGTACACCTCATCGTATACCGATAAATATAAAAATATTGAATATAAGCACCAGTACTACATTTATTTACGATTTTAAAATAACAAGTAATACATAATAATTTTAATGGTAAGTACAAACACTTGGCTGTCACTATATATCTGTTCACTAAGTGTGAAAAATTCTCAATTTATATAATCGTTCCTTCCACGGACGACAGAAAGCACAACAAAGAGGCTCAAACTGATAAATACGTTATGAATACAAGATTACCATATTCGAGAAGAGTCCGCAACAAGCGGGCACCGCTAAAATGTTGAAGACTGCCGACCCCACGACGGTGCCCACACCCAGGTCGCCTTCCGTGACGAACGTGCCCACACAATTAATAAATAATTCAGGACTAGAGCTGGCCGTCGCCATGAATGTAGCGCCTGCTATGTCTTCCTTCATGTGCAGATCTGGAACAAAAAAAAAACCATCGATTCAGTTGGGGAACAGGGCACGCACCGCACAAGTTTGAATTATATCAAAGAGGGAGGAAAACCGAGTTTAAAAAAGTTTTTTACGGGTATGCTTTCGCATTCTGTAAATATATATGAAAAAGATGTAGATATGATTAAATTTGGAAAGTGTAGCGAAATTCTGAAGGATAAAAATTCACATTCACAAGTTTTATATTTTTTATGTATTTTTTATTATATTTTTTTTTATATTTTTAAATTTTATATTTTCAAATGCTTTATAAGTTTACTTTTACATTTTAAATGTTTTATAAATTTTCTTGTACATATCCTGTATTCTGTTTTAAAATGTTCCAACATCAAAATGTCTAGTATATTAAATTAAATTCACAATAAACTTTATTCAGTTTATTCTATTCTAACCCTCTTCAACAAAGCTGAAATCTCTTAAGAGAATTAGGTAATGATAGTTAACACAAACTGTGTAGTGACGTGTACAATATGTCTAAATCAACACTGACGAGCAAATGGAAACTAATTTTAAAAGAAACATTGAATTAAATTGTTTTAAAGTTATTTATGAAAACAAATTACACAGATTGTAGCATCGGAAAGCATCGTAAATATCTGAACTACTGATTAAAATGTATCGACGCTCCCACACATTCATAAATCACAATAAAACTAAATCTTTCTAAGTTTCTGACAAAACAGTTTAGCCTTAATCAGGATTATAAGATTTTATTCAAGTCCATGCAAATATTTAGTTTTAACTAGGATTAAATGAATTTATTAAGCTCAAACTGATTTACCTAGATCCACAAAATTTAATGGATCACTAAACTGCATCTAATTATACTTATGCAAGTGGTTATCACCATCGTAAGAGTTGAATATACTGATAATTATTTAACGAAGGTAGAACGGTTTTATTCCGAAAACGGCTATTAACTTATAGAGCTTATAGACCAGGAAATATAAGGGGTATGCATGCATAATTCTTCGGTCAGACTGATTTTTCTGTGAGCAGATAGTAAAAATAGTGTAGAATAATATGTACCGTTTTTTTGTAATTTTGTTGTTAATCGGTTTGGAATACAAAAAAGTGTAAAGAAACAAAAAGATAATACAATGGCGTATATGATCTATTTTATTTGTAATATTATACAGGGTGGTCCTAATTTTATGCAGGAAACTTCGAGGACAGATAGATCTCTTTAAAATAATAGGTGTTTGCCTTATAAACATAGGTCTGGAACGGCCTCGTTTTAGAGATACAGGGTGTTGAAGTTGTTAAAAAATATATATTTTTTGTTTATATCTCAGGAATCTATTAACCGATCTCAATAAAATTTGGTACAAATAATGTACGATAGTAGGCCTTGCATTACCTAAAATATGATCTCTAAAGGTTTAACCAGTGATGTACAACTGGATAGGGGTCACCCCCTTTTTAGAAAAAAAGCTTACGCCACTGTATTTTTATTACGGTTATTGTAACGGATTTATATTCTAATGCACTAAATACGTAAAAAAGGTGACTTGAAATTTTGTATTAATACAAATACAATCCCCCTTGTGGCAGACACTTCAAATCATAATATTACAAAAATATTTATGTTTATGCTTAAAAGTAAGTGAAATTTGTAAGCACATCAACAAAATTCTTTCCACATCACTTGTGAGGTAGTGTTCCTGGTGTGTTTTAGTTTTTCCTGGAGGCATTATCTTTACAAATAAGAACAAATCAAAATAATAATAAAAATACATTTACCAAGCAACAACAACTAAATAAGAAACAAAATTAGCGTTACATATTTACAGCAATTGTTTAAAATGCGAACCACTCTCATTGATACATTTCTGACATCTATTAATGGAACTAATTGAAGCTAATATGTGGTGGTTTTCTTTTAATTTATTATATCCGTCTTCTATTCGCTGCAGCAGTTGTGGTCTAGTATCTATTGGAGTCGAGTAAACTTTTCAGGTAGGTCACCCCAAATGTAGAAGTCCAGGGAGTTTAGATCTGGCAATCTGGCTGGCTAAGACACTTAACCCTCTGCACCATTGTGGTTCACCTATCCATCATCTCATATAATTTTCATTAAGCCATTCTAGTTTTATTCTCCTAAAATGCGCAGGAGCACCATTCATTTGAATCCAGCTATTTTGTCGTATATTTAATTGAACAGCCTCTAATAATTCAAATATATGGTTTTCTTGAAAGTTTAGAAATGACCAACTTTCATGAGGATTTTCTTGTGACCAAATCTCTAGATTGTGAAAATTCACTACCCCTCGCCTTGTGAACGTAGCCTCATCGGTCCAAAGTATTTCTAGTAAGAATTCAAACAGCCACTAATAAAAATTCAGGCGTCTCTCTGCATCTCCCGGAAGTAAATTTTGCACAGGTTGTAAATGGTACGGATTTCTGCCATCCTTACGTAGAACTTTTCAAATTTTCGATTTACTCACCCCAAGTTGCCGAGACGTTCTTCGTGTACTTAGCCGAGGATCGTCGTCAAATGCTTTTAAAATTTCATTTCTGTGCCTTTCATTCCTTTGTCGTGATTTTCCAAATATTGTTTTAATCCAAAAAGATGAAAGCGACGAGTGTAAAGAATTTTGTTGATGTGCTTACAAATTGCACTTACTTTTAAGCATAAACATAAATATTCTTGTAATATTATGGTTAGAAGTGTCTGCATCAAGAGGATTGTATTGATATGAATAACTTGAGAACGGTGAACTTTAGGGAAAAAATTCAAGTTACCTTTTTTACGTATTTTGTGCATTAGAATATCAATTCGTTATAATAGCTTGTAAAAAATACAGTGGCGTAGGTTTTTTTTATAAAAAAGGGGGTGACCCTGTCCAGTTGTACACCACTGGTTAAATCTTTAGTACTCATATTTTAGGGAATACAAGGCCTACTATCATACATTATGTGTACTAAATTTTATTGAAATCGGTCGATGAATTCCGGAGATATAAACAAAAAATATTTTTTTTAACAACTTCAACACCCTGTATCTCTAAAACAAGGCCGTTCCAGACCTATGTTTATAAGGCAAACACCTATTATTTTAAAAAGATCTATCTGCTCTCGAAGTTTCCTGCATAAAATTCGAACCACCTTGTATAGGGTTATATATTTTTTATGGCACATAATGATCGATGATACCCACACCTCCGCCACTGGTAGGTTTCTAAAGCTGGAATTTGTTTAATACCTATTGTCAAACTAAATATATACACCGAATTTCGTTAAATTATCTCAAGCGGCTTAGAAATTAAAAATTGATTGTCTTTTTAATTTTTGACACGCTGTAACTGGGCAATGGCTGTCCTAAGACCCAACATTTATACAAAAAACCCTTATTTTGGCCACAGAAGACGCCCCTAGATTTTTTACCTCTACTTAAAAACACTGTATACAAATAACGTTGATGATAAAAACATTGATTTTATAGAAAATAATAAAATTAAAACTTAATTTGAAGGAAATAATAGTCGACAGGTACCCCGGACAAGAGCCTATTCCATCCTTACACCATTATCACATTTTCCCGACAATAAATTTTTTACGAAGCTTATTAAGTCTTTGTTCGCGAATGTAAATCTAGTCAGAAAAATTACACGCAAATTTTCTCCGTATTAGCCCTTGTCAAACATAAAAAACCCGATATTGGGTGATAGATAGTCGACGTAGCGAAGAATTCCTATATTCGACAAGCGAATATTGATCACAGAGCGTTGTCCTGTCGGGGATTTAATCAGGATGGAGCCGTTAAGATCAACACATGTCTATGTGTGTGCTGAAAACATCAATGAGTATCGACGTAAAGCTTGGACAGGCTAGTGATTAATCTTCGTCATAAGAATATGTGTTTTCATCAATGATCAATTCTTTGGAGAACTGTTCCAAAATTTACCATCTTAATTCAGTTTCATATGTGTCAAAGAATATTTTACTTAACTAGAAACGAAAAATCTTCATGCAGCTGTATTTATTTATTATATTAATTGAACAACTTAAACTAATCAACTGCCATATTTTCTCTGATCGAAAATTGCAAATAGAGGTTCCTAATATTACAGTCGATCAAGTAGTATCGATGTTGACAAAACATTTCTAAATGTTGCAATGCTAACAACTTCCAGTCATGGTCTCCTAGATACTGCATCTGCGTTTCCATGGAGTCGTCCTCTTTTATGTTCAGTGGTGGAGTCATACTCTTCTGAAATTTGTAACTAACAAGCTGGCCTTCTGGGTTCTTAATCTGGAATCACCATTTCAAAGAGGCATGATCTGTCCTTAAAGTGAAGTATTGTCCGTAGAGGTACTTATGGAAATGTGTCAAGGTTTCGACAAGTTTTGTTAATGCCTGTTGAGATTTCGGGGTCTTAGCTGATGTTAGCAGGTATTCGACTTCTTGAAAGACGCTGCACTTGATTTGTTTTGATTCAATTTTAGGCTAGCTGATTTAATTTTCATTAAAACTTCCTCCATATTCTTCATGAGTTCTTCAAATGTCTTGCTCGATATAATGACGTCATCGCAGATACAGGTCTTCCAAGTAAATCCTTATAATACAGTCTCTAGAGCCATTTTCGAAAGACTCGAAAGTGACTGGAGCTTATACAGAGGTTAAAAGGCATGACATTCCAATTTTGTTATTGTGAAGCGTCAGTTTTCTGTAAACTGTTGAATACTAGAATAAAGAAATAACTACTCGTGTTTGGTTCCCTATTCCATATGATTTGCATCCCTTAATCATCTTCCTATTGCTTTTACACCCTCATGTATCCACCCTGTATCTGTCTGTTGTCAAAAGTAATTTGAACCAGATAATATATTTCACCCCTCTGTCTGCTGAACACATTTATTACAATCCTGACAAAATCCTATAATCTTGTAAAACCCCTACCATATTTTTTCTCGAGATCTGTCTTTAGATTTGCTCAAAGTTGTTGGTACTTATTTATGTCACGTCCTTTACATCTTGGGTCTTAAAATATTTTACGCCAATTTCCGTTGTACCAGTCGTATCATATAAGATTGTCGTGTAACTGTGACAATGCAGCAATGCAATTGGAATAAAAGCTGAAATTTATGCGAAAATCAAGTTATATGACAGCGAAATAAATGCGGGGAAAGACTATGGGGAGGATTGTTGACGCTCCTTAAGATATACAGTGTTGGTAGGTTTTACCTGTCTCTGAAGCCAAAATCATTGAGAAAAATTCCATAATAATGTACATATTAATTATCTTACATATTTATATTTATATATTTCTTATATTTATATTATTATAAGCAAATTGCATAACAAAACCTTTACTTATCTTAGGAAAATTTTTGTATAATCTACACAGACTAAAGTGTATGTAATTTAGCATATACAAAGATATACAAATGCTTGGAATAAAACTGAGACACCATAACTATATTATAGGAAATATCCAGAAGTGATTTTATTACAATTAATTAAACATAAAACAAAAATTATATCAAAGCGAAAAGCAAAACAATATTTCATGTTAACTTGGTCAGTGATAATATTGTTAATTTCGCAATTCTTATTAAAATTATTTTGTTCTGGATCTGGTCACGATTAAATACAGGGTGTCCCGCATAAGAACTGACACAGGGCAAGAGCATATAGGGGTGTCCAAAATATTGTAATTTAAGGAGGTATATCGGGGTCCGAGGGAAGTAAGGATCGTAGGGGGGACCTACGCTTTTTTTATGGGACTAAAACTTTAAAATCAATTTCGTTTTTATCAAGTCTTTCAAATGTATTGCCTCCTTGCTGTCAGCTGATTGCGACGTTGCCACATTAATCCTCAAGTCAGACAGAAATGCAATTATTGGTTTCTGTTTCTAATTAATACAGCTGTACTATGTTCAAAACTTACATTAGATTTACATAAAAAATAAGATAATACTGTGTACTATCTATGGAAAAGTTTTGTTTCACAATTTCTACATTTTTTCTCAGTTATGGGCAAAAAAGAGCCGCAAGGTCCATCTTCGCCATATAAACCTATGTTAAAATGAACAACTTTCAACAACAATATCTCAAAATCTAGACTCAAAAAAAATTTCAAAAAAAAATATGACGCACAGAGGGAGCACTGGGTAATACGTTATATAAATTTCAAGTACATCTGTGCATTTGGGTAAACCCGATATAATCATGTACTAAATTTGTTTTTTCTGCGGTTGCAGTGTTGCAGAGATATTAATTTTTTTTCGAAATTTAGAGCCGCACTTTGAGGGCTAATAAATGCTCAGGAGTGCAACTTTGTATGTAGGTAAGTTTAACTCACTGCAATATCGGCACTTTCAATTTACATGTAGTGTAAAATAAATTGTAATCGTCGTGTTTATAATAGTTACTATTTTGTATTGAAATGAATTATTTTGACATTTGTTTTATGTTCTAGAACGAAATAGACTTTGGCGTTCTAGAACATAAAAGTATTTTGCAGGTAGGTGACAAAAAAGACTCACTTTATCAATTGAAAACATAATGAAAATGTCGAAATGATGACAGTTTTCGAGAAAAGTTATTTTATAAGATCAGCTGTCAATAATCAATTTAAGTAAATGTGTATAACCTTGATCCTAAAATATTATAATTAGGGAAAGTACTGTTAGGTACAAATTTGCTTCATTGGAAGTTATGTGGCGTTTAAATTTTCGTAAAAATCACAATTACGCAGCTATTCAGAGATGTTGGATGTAGATTAGTAAAACTTGAAGTGGCAACACAACCAAATAAAGATAATACAATAAATATGTATACAATTATATTAATCAGTGATGAAAATACTGAGAGACACCGTCATTAAAAACGTCAGAATTTTATTCTAATTCTCAATTGTATTTCAAAGAAACAGTATCCTTTTCATTTTATTCGTAAAAAGAGTAATTTTCAAGTTATTTTTTAGTCTAAAATAAGCTTAATTTTAAGTTGAATTTTAAGAAATGCCAAAAAAAATCATTTATACGATTTTTATCGAGAATACAATTTTAAATACAATAATCATTAAGATTAAAAAACTTGGACGAAGAAATTTCTATTTTGTAAGAGCAAGTTTCTACACCACTGTGTTTCACGGTTTTTTAATGATTACATTTTATTTTCTATAAATAAAAACGAACTTATTGAATTCACAAAACATCGAAATTCTGACGTTTCTAATGGGATATCTCCCAGTATCTCCGTCACTGGTTGAAATAATTGTGTACAAATTATGATACTTTTCAAAAATTTAAACACTATGTAAGTTACATAGTGTTTAAATGAAGCAACTAACAATATGACACATTTGAACCATTTATCTAATTTTGATTTCAAGATTATCAAGATATCATTTGTACCCCTTCATTTAAAACACCCTGTACACAAAGCAATAAAGAATGTGGATTAAAGTAAAGATCTGATTAAGTAATACTCACTATCACAGAATTTCTTGATCGCAGGAACGAAGTAGTCGTCGCAGACAATTGCCAGCAGGGTGAATAGGTAGCAGGCCAGGAGAGCGTGCAGAACAACGAAGCCGTGTTGCCGCTGCTGTCTGGTGAATCCATCTGGGGGAAACTCGTTTATTGCTGCGGGGGTGCAGTTAGGGGTGACGTTTTGCCTCCGAACTGCCCCCAGGAGATGACGACTGCTCGCCAAAGGTGACACTAAAACAATTATAACAAAATGTCTCAGAAATAACTTAGAAGACATTTGAAATCATTCACTAGTGTATAGGGAATGTCCTCAAAATGCTGTTACAGCATCGCGATTACCAACCAAACTAAATATATCACGGAGGTTTATTGAATTCAAGTCTGTTCAGAATTTTAGGACAATCTATCGAAGATACCATAATTTTTTGTTTATTTATTTACTTTATTTTAAAAGCCGATGCAAGGTATCCTTGTCCGTGAGTGAAAGGGATTCAATTCGAACATTACTCGTAAGAGAATTGATTCGCCTCTTGCTGCCTGTGCTTTTTGCTTTGATTGGTGCACATGGATATTAACCCCAATTAAGGTTAAGTGTCCAACTTCAGCATCGTTCTTTTATTATTGAGTTCTTACGATTTAGTTCACGTTTGATTTGTACTCAGCTGCCTCAAACTCGATCCATGTTTTCTTTCTTAATAGTAGGTATCACATAAACAATCTGCTTGTGTCATTCAATGCAGATAACAACTTAAGATTCATTGTTTCTGCTGAAGTACCAGTAAACAAGTGCTTAATCCAATTGAAAATATAAATAGAAACAAATGCGTTAATGTTATTGAAGTCTTATCACATGGAGTAATCATACATTGTGTCAGGGTCATACTTGTAGCCACTTGAACAGATAGGGGGGCGGGACACTATGGCCTACTGTCGGATGCAAAAAGGATAAGTTTATAACGAATTTCACCAAAACTCCAGGAGACGACATGGAAACCGACCACCCTGGGCACTAGGTACCTCGGAGACCGTTGCCGTCATGATATTCGTGTTCAGCAACCCCAAAAACCTCCGAGTAGCAAAATTGATCTCATTTCCGTCAATATTTTCCAAGTTATAAATTTTTCATTTTTTAATTCTTCGAGATGCAATTTTCCTTATGCACCGATGCAATATTCATTTCTCATTGATCACATAGGGTCACAAACTTTCTAGACGCTCTAACGAATCGAATACAAAAAACCGCATAATGATCCATCTTACTGCACAGATTTCGGAGGTTCAGTGTTTCATTTCTTCGACTATATGTATATGTATAGGCCAAGCAAATAAGATTTTTACTCGAAAAAAGTCCTATCCGCGAGATTATTGTAAAATTGTCTAAAGGAACATAATACAAGACATATCTCATCTCGTGAGTCAAAAAATTTTATTATCTAACTTTTCTGTTTAAACAAATAAGTGAAGGAAAACAGTTTTTTCACTTTGCAGGGAAAACCATAAATTTTAGCGAATAGTGACTCAGACAGCTTGTAGGGAGTAAAATTATCTACAAAATGAGACTTGCTAAACTAAAATCGGTTAATAAATAAAAAAGTTATTGCAAAAAACAAGAAAAGTGCCCATTTTTTAATTTGTTTATAACTATCGCATTTATTGTTAAAATTTTATAAAACCTATGACAAGTTGAGGGTTTTGTCATACTTTAAAAGTGTGCCAAAAGTGGGCGCTGTAGGTGCAATAGTTTTCGCACAATTCTATTTGTTTATAGCGGAGGCTCCAAAAGTTATGAACTTTAAGCCTCTGTACAGACGTTAATTTTCAATCAAACATGATTCTGAAAGCGTCATTGTAATCTTAAAGACGCAATTAAGCGACCTATTAAAAAATATCACCGTTTTTTTGACATTAACATTCTCAAATTGTGCATTAAAAAACCGTGCGTTTTTCGCTTATAAACAATTTGAATAACATTGTTGCTATTTATGCTATCTCACCGAAAATAGATGCAATGGATAGCTGGAAAAAAAATACAGTTTTAAAATAAAAAAAGTGCCCTCTACGACCAACAGGAGCCAAGATAAGAATCTTTTTTTAAAAAATCGTAGCGCAATTGTTTATAAATATTAAGACTTGAATTTTTCGCAAAATAAAGTTTACGACGTAAACTACGATTTCCCGTGAATTGCATTGAAAAATGTGGAAAATTAACGACTCACGAGCCCTTTAAAGAGAAGGTACTCGCTAAGTAAACTGTCCGGCGGCCGGCGGCGTGGTGGTGGGGGAAGTGCGCGCTGTAAATTTTGCAATATCTCGGCTTCTATTCATCGTAGAAACTTATTATTTTTTTATAAACTGGGGTAGCTCGACGAAAAAATAACAATGGGCATATTTACGAATTCGTAGAATAGCCCTGAACCCCAGAAAAAATGCATCTTTTATACTTAATTTTTTTTAATTTACAAAAATGTCACAAAAATTATTGTTAAACGAAATATTAATTAGAATTTCAATTTCGGAATTATTTTACTATTATTAAATAAATAAATGAAGCTATCGTTCATTTAAAAAGTATTTTTTAACATATTAAGCCAAAGTAAACTTGTTGTTTTTCAATATTTTGTAATTACGATTTAAATGTAAAATTAAAGTAAAAATTCATAAATTATTTTCAAATTATTATTTCACATAAAAAGAGCAAACATTTTTAATTTTAAATTGTATTATTTTGCATTATAGCTATTATTGAAAATGGTTGTGATTAATATTTTTTTAATTAATTTTGATTATGTTGCAAACATTTTTTTGTATAAAATCAGTAATGAATATAATAAAAAAAAAACTTTATGTATTAAAATTTCAAGAAGTTAAAAGTTGTAATTTTATCGACCGCATTATTTTTATTAATATTTTTTAATTTTGAGAATTTTGCAATAAATTCAAATGCTTTTTATTCTTTTTAAAATCTTTTAACAATAAATTATAATAATTTAATTTAATCTGTTACAGAAATACCCAATTAAATAAAAAGAGAAAATCAGATGAAGTTATTCTTTTATATTTCTAATGTCGTTTATGAATTTAGTGTATTTTGTTTTGTATACGATTTTTTATATGTTTACACAAACAAAATGTTAGTACCTTTTATTTAAAGAGAATAAGTACTATTTAGAATTACCGCCCCAATTTTTTCGTCGTCTCTAGAAGTCATAAAGAACAGTTGGCAACCCTGCTTTTACCGCGACTGACTTGTTTTTAATAACTATTATTTTCAGAACTTTGAGAAATACTAACAATGAGACGAGTTTAAATTAAATTTCTATTAAATTCTTTAACAGACTTCCATCTGAGATTCGATCACTAAATTCAGACTGTTTTAAAGCCAGAATTAGAAAATATCTTAAGAGGAAAACGTTTTATAATTTTGATGAGTTCCTTGCTGACCAGTTTTTAGATATTTAATGTATGTTCGTAATATTCACCTTTTTATGCTGTTTACGTTATATTTATCTGAATGTGTTTTTTAGCTTTAGTGTAGTATCGCTTATATGTTGTAACTTTCGCGTTTTTCTTTCTTTGACTTGTGTAAACATTTTAATGTATAGACACCAATAAATGATTTGATTTGATTTGAGTTTTATCAAACCAGAGTTAGAGAGAACTAAAGCAATTCAAGTTACTATCGACATTTATAAGTTTGCAATAATATGATTGTCTTATATCTTTGTACTTTTCTTCTACATTATTCGCCTCGTAATTAAATGCCCGTTGAATTCTCTTGAAACATTTTTTAGAATAGTTTTTGTTTGCTTTGAAGTTTAGGTTGCTCAAAGAATATTTGTCCTTCCTTCAATAATATCTATAGAAACATGGTGACATATTTTTACAAATATTGTCTAACCTTTTTTGAAGAATGATTCATTTAAATTTTAATATAATAGTAGTGGCAGTATTTATTGCCCAATACATATGCATTCAGTTACTAGACAAATTACAATAACAATTGTAATAATAATAATAATGTTGTACTGTAGTAATAATCATATTGTTATATTTAATAGACTGGATCAAAAAAATCGACAATTTTTTTTGAAAGATATATCGAGAATATCATTCAGAATGACGAAAAAAAATATCGTGAGAGTTTGAGCCCTTAATATTAGTTTTAAGAGGTCTATCATCGCTAGTTTCGATTTTTTATTCCTGATCCCATTTTTGCGTCAAAACTACCAAACCATCAAGGTAAAAAATTTATCTACTTATATTTTTTAAGGAAATTGAATGCCCTACAAAAAAGGTCCGATTGAAAATTTTCGGCAGACGAGTCGTTTTCATGTAATCAAACCTTGAAAATTGATGTTTTTTCGATTTTACTTTTTAACTTTGGAATTTTGTAAATAACGAACAAATTAATATCTGAAAAAGAACAATACAGATTTTCGTAGGAAATTTAATGCTGGACAAAAAAGGTCTCTTAACATTTTTGCACAAATTCACTCCTTCAAAAGTTATTCACGATTGAAGTTGAAGTAAAAATTAAGAATTTTTGTTTTTTCGTTTTGGACCCAATTTTTTCCACTCAATGAAACAAATTGATATTATACATCATCGAAAATTATCATTCTATCTATATAATCGCCAAAAATATCCTATAACAAAATAATATATTTTACATGATTATGCTTGGGTATTAAACGAATACAATAACGAGTACACAGAAATGATGTAATAACACACAATTTATTTGAAAATTACAGGAATACCTCCATGTAGGAAATCATCGACTAATATTTTCTACAGTAACAGAGCGGAGATCCTGAAAGGAACATGTATTAATATCACAGTTCCTGCTATTTTTATTAAAATTATGTAGGCGACTTCAACATAATATTGCTTCTTGCCAAGCACCAATAAAAAGTAAGTGAATTCCTATTAATACTTTTAGGTAGGTACCAGAAAATTTAATACTAAGCCACTAAATTACTTTTAAATTTCAGAGATTGTAAATTGAACCCAGTAAAACTTTTTGATTAATATCTTGGAGTCAATAAATACCATATATGTTATATTCCAGTTTGGAATGTAAATGTGAAAAATATGGATCCTCACCCTTAGTGTTTTAGTGTTAGAAAATGTCTCAAGACTGCAGATTAAAAAAATGCTGATTTTGACATAGAATTGATGTGATGAATAAGAAGAGTGAGTTTAGAATAAAACAAGATACCTATTTAAAT